GGGAGCTGCAATTACAGCTGGATCTCTGGGTGAATGCCACAGGTAGCTTGTCCTCCTAAAGCAGACGGCCCTGGCTGCGACCACGGTCGGCTCCACATAGCTCCTCGCTGGAGCAGGGGCCGCTCCTGAGTTATGACGTTGGGAGCAGGCCCAGAAAGCAGAGGGCCAGGGCCCTTCCACAGCTGCTGCCATCTGACTTACAGCAGAGGAGCTAGCCAGATGGCGGAGGTGCTTAGCCTCAGTCTACGTTGTTACCGGCTGCCAGGTGGCTGTGAAGGACCTCGGGAGGGCACTGGGGGGCCACTCTCAATGACATGCCCGTTTCACACCGCCTTCAAGGCAGGTGGCCGCAGGCCCCTGCACATAACATGGGGCAGAGCTGTGTGGACATCCCAGGAGCCTCCAGGCAACCTACCCGCCCCTCCTGAGCCTTCGTTTTTCCACGGCCTACCTTTATTTTTTTTAATGAAATTATTTTTTTCTTTATATGCTTTTTTAGAGATAGAGATGGGGTTTCCCCATGTTGCCGAGGCTGGTCTCGAACTCCTGGGCTCAAGCAATCTGCCTGCCTCAGACTTCCAAAGTGCTGGGATTACAAGCTCCCACCTCCACGCCTGGCTAACTTTTTGTACTTTTAGTAGAGATGGGGTTTCGTCATGTTGGCCAGGCTGGTCTTGAACTCCTGACCTCAGGTAATCTGCCTGCCTCAGCCTCCCAAACTGTTGGGATTACAGGCGCGAGCCACCGCGTCCAGTCTCCATGGCCTACCTTTGAAGGGCAGTCGTGAGGGCCCATTTAGACAGGACAGGCCTCCCAGGCTTGGCTCTCAGGAGCCAACGATCTCCCGAAAACAGAGTGCCACACCACCCCAGCAGCCATGGAGGCAAAGCCGACCTTGGCCTTGGCAAGAACCATTTCCCTGGCGCAGCTGTGGCATGAAAGAAAAGGAAGCTATGGCCGGGCGCAGGGGCTCACGCCTATAATCCCAGCACTTTGGGAGGCCGAGGCGGGCAGGTCACCTGAGGTCAGGAGTTCGAGACCAACCTGAACAACATGATGAAACCCCATTTCTACTAAAAATACGAAAATTAGGCCAGGTGTGGTGGAGGGAGCCTGTAATCCCAGCTACTCAGGAGACCGAGGCAGAAGACTCACTTGAGCCTAGGAGGCAGAGGTTGTAGTGAGCCGACATCACGTCACGGCACTCCAGCCTGGGAAAGAGGGAGACTCCGTCTCAAAAAAAAAGGAAGCCATGAAGGAGAACCACGGGGACTCCTGACTGGGGGACAGGGGCTCCAGGGCACCCTGCAGGGCGATTCTAGCTTCCCCACTCTCTGGAGTGCGGCCTGCTTCTGTGTATGAAAAACGTGGGGGGCCACTCACCGGGTGAGAATTGAAAGGGCAGCCCCGCTGGGAAGGGTGATCCCACGGCCAGTGAGCAGGGTCCACCGTTATCGCTAAGGGACAAGTCAGGAAGCACAAGCTGCTGAGCTGCATCCGGACTCATAGTGGAGCCCGGTCCACGCCATGTCCCCACTGGTTAAATGAGCGAAGCTGTGGCTCTTCAACAAAACTGTCCGGTTTTCATTTGTAGAGACAGGCGTGTATTTAGACAGGCATGTATGTATTTAGGTGGGGTCTTGCTCTGTTGCCCAGGCTGGGCTCAAACTCCCAGGCTCAAGTCATCCTCCCCATCTCAGCCTCTCGAGTAGCTGGGATTCCCGGGATAAGCCACCACACCCAGCAAAAACATCTGACTTTTAGACAAGCGTGAGTAATTATGGGCTAATACTGAATGGCGAGGTTTCTGCCTGGGCACCTGCTCTAAGATGTTAATCTGCTGACGTCACGCCTGGCCCCTGGTTCAAGGCTGACCCTTGACGAGCTGCCCCGACAGATCCCCTTCCTCTGGCGGAGATCCTGCAGCTGTCCTGACACGTGCTACCCGCTGGGGCCTCGCTCCTGTGCAGATGGTCCTTCCCTTTTCCTTCCATCGACTCCTTCATGGCCCTTAAAATTGTGGGCTCAGATCTCCCAAGAGGAAGACACCAAATGGGATTCAACATAGGACTTCATGCGGGGCTGGCAGACCTCGATGCCAGCCTGCCTGAGGGAGGCTGGGTGGAAGCCCTGGGCCGGGAGTCCTATCTGCCAGGGATGCGTTTGCCTCAGTATCCCCTGATGTCCCCGCTGCACACAGACACTGGTGGGGGCAGCAGGCCCCTGCAAGGGGCCCTCAAGCATCAGTGCTTCCTCCAGGAAGTCTGGCAGGCCCCCCACGTGGGACTCCCCCGCTCTCTTCTTCTCATGCTAACATTGCCTGACAGCCGACTGGGCTGTGAACCTGTGGGGCAGGGACAACGGCTGTGGGTGACCCGGCAGGCACCAGGGCTGTGAACCCGTGGGGGAAGGGACAACGGCTGTGGGTGACCCAGCAGGCACTGGGTGCTCAGCAGGTCCTCAGTTTGCTGAAGGAGTGAGCCCTCAAAGAGCCAGTTTCCTGGCTCAAGCCTGTAATCCCAGCACTTTGGGAGGCCGAGACGGGCGGATCACGAGGTCAGAAGATCGAGACCATCCTGGCTAACACAGTGAAACCCCGTCTCTACTAAAAAATACAAAAAACTACCAGGCGTGGTGGTGGGCGCCTGTAGTCCCAGCTACTCAGGAGGCTGAGGCAGGAGAATGGCGTGAACCCGGGAGGCGGAGCTTGCAGTGAGCGGAGATAACGCCACTGCCCTCCAGCCTGGGGGAAAGAGGGAGACTCCGTCTCAAAAAAAAAGGAAGCCATGAAGGAGAACCACGGGGACTCCTGACTGGGGGACAGGGGCTCCAGGGCACCCTGCAGGGCGATTCTAGCTTCCCCACTCTCTGGAGTGCGGCCTGCTTCTGTGTATGAAAAACGTGGGGGGCCACTCACCGGGTGAGAATTGAAAGGGCAGCCCCGCTGGGAAGGGTGATCCCACGGCCAGTGAGCAGGGTCCACCGTTATCGCTAAGGGACAAGTCAGGAAGCACAAGCTGCTGAGCTGCATCCGGACTCATAGTGGAGCCCGGTCCACGCCATGTCCCCACTGGTTAAATGAGCGAAGCTGTGGCTCTTCAACAAAACTGTCCGGTTTTCATTTGTAGAGACAGGCGTGTATTTAGACAGGCATGTATGTATTTAGGTGGGGTCTTGCTCTGTTGCCCAGGCTGGGCTCAAACTCCCAGGCTCAAGTCATCCTCCCCATCTCAGCCTCTCGAGTAGCTGGGATTCCCGGGATAAGCCACCACACCCAGCAAAAACATCTGACTTTTAGACAAGCGTGAGTAATTATGGGCTAATACTGAATGGCGAGGTTTCTGCCTGGGCACCTGCTCTAAGATGTTAATCTGCTGACGTCACGCCTGGCCCCTGGTTCAAGGCTGACCCTTGACGAGCTGCCCCGACAGATCCCCTTCCTCTGGCGGAGATCCTGCAGCTGTCCTGACGCGTGCTACCCGCTGGGGCCTCGCTCCTGTGCAGATGGTCCTTCCCTTTTCCTTCCATCGACTCCTTCATGGCCCTTAAAATTGTGGGCTCAGATCTCCCAAGAGGAAGACACCAAATGGGATTCAACATAGGACTTCATGCGGGGCTGGCAGACCTCGATGCCAGCCTGCCTGAGGGAGAGGAGCCAACGATCTCCCGAAAACAGAGTGCCACACCACACCAGCAGCCATGGAGGCAAAGCCGACCTTGGCCTTGGCAAGAACCATTTCCCTGGCGCAGCTGTGGCATGAAAGAAAAGGAAGCTATGGCCGGGCGCAGGGGCTCACGCCTATAATCCCAGCACTTTGGGAGGCCGAGGCGGGCAGGTCACCTGAGGTCAGGAGTTCGAGACCAACCTGCACAACATGATGAAACCCCATTTCTACTAAAAATACGAAAATTAGGCCAGGTGTGGTGGAGGGAGCCTGTAATCCCAGCTACTCAGGAGACCGAGGCAGATGCCCGTTTCACACCGCCTTCAAGGCAGGTGGC